TACAATTAACTTTAAAGCAAATAATGAGTTCACAGCTCTGAAAAAAAAACATTGTGCAGTTATTTAAAAATGGCATTTTGAGATTTAATGAAATATGTTCAAGATCAGAAGAAAAACAGCAGCCCATTCAAAAAGAAAATGAAAAACTGAAAAGCACAAATATAGAAAACATGAATGTGGATAAATTCAATAGATATTTATTTGATACATATTTCATTCAGTTCTAAACAAAATTTATTTAGATACCATAGAAAAAGGGAGAATGAAGCAGGATAATGATTTGCAATTTGAGTATAAATCTAAATCTAAAATAAATATTTCAAGTAAAAGCTTTGCATTATAGTGTTCTTTTTATGTAGTATGAAAAAACTTTCATACAGTTCTACCTTAATGCTCTACCTTAGAAATAAGTTGACCTCAAGAAGAAAGGTTTCTAACCAACGTCTTAATGGAAATGCTTATAAATCAGTTTGTTGGAAAACTGATAAATAAGATGTGAGAAAAGCCCTTTCAGAGACATGATCCACAAATGCAGAAAACATGGAATAATGCTATACCAAAAAAAAAAAAAAAATTATAAAAATTATGGAAATTCCTCAGTACTGCAGGTCTAATTTACAAAAATGAAACTTTTTGGCCGGTGCATGTTGTGGCCATTGGTCCAAAACTAACAACATTTCAGAAGGACTTTATGGCCTGTAAAATATGATAGTATTGGTGTTTTTCCTCTAGATTACATTTGCTTTATAAGGAAATCCACCTCCATATGGTTTTAAAGCTAAAAGATATTTTGGTGGCCTGTTTAAAGTGAGGGCTTCAATTTCTCCCACGATTTGAGCTTGTCGGTCAAATTCCATTGTTGTACAGTGAAAGAAAACAATGAAATACTATTTACTTGAAAAAGCTTGGTAACTTATAACACAGAAATTTTTTGTAAGTTTCACTCTAAGTTGATTTCAACAAAGAAACCCAAGTATATTTAACTACCAAATTTCTCTTGTCAACTAAAGATATACTATTGTTTTGCTAGAGCGGCAGAGAGACATAAAAACTAAGCACACACAAGGAGAATCTAGAGAAGTCAATTAACCTAACAATCGTGTTTTTTGGAACGTGGGGGGAAGCCGGGGTAGCCAGAAAAAAACCCACATATGCATGGAGAGAAGATGCAAACCCAATGCAGAAAGACCCTGAACCAGGTATGAAACCTAAAACTTTATTGCAGAAAGGCAACAGTTCTACAAAGTGCAGCCACCAGCTAAACTATTTATCTGACCTAAATATGGTCAGGCAAGGGAAAAAAAAAAATCACAGTTTATTCCTAATAACCAAGTGTCATGACGGGTCTTACTGATTTAACCCACATGCAGAACACCACAGAGACTGAGTAAAAGTTAACAACAGTTTATTGAGAGATCACACAATGAAGTTATTTGCACTGATACTGGAACGGGTCCGGGACTGGAATCACAGGGCTCTCTGCAGAGAGAGATAGTTTGGTTAGCCAAATAGCAGAGGGGTCTTGACAGAGCTTGTAATGATCTGTACCTGATGGTGGTTCAGACTGAGCGTTGGAGAGAGGGAACCAGAAGGGTCCAGAGACTGAGGGTTCAGCAGAGGGTTTAGCAGCGGCAGGGCTTGACTTCAGACTTGAGAGGTTCAGACCTTGAGTTGATCTCCTAGTTCTCTCCAGAGAACTAGCAGGGAGATTCAGACTGAGGATCTTCAGGTTTGGCTTCACAGAGCAGGCAGGCTGGTTTTTGAATGTGAGCTCCTCCAGAGCTCCTGAGTCAATCAGGTATTCCTAGGAAGGTAGAGAGGACAAAGGCAGGTTAGAATCAGGTTGGCTTTCTAAGCAGTCAGAGATTCAGGCAACAGGTTTGGCTCAGGCTTGCTAACCATAACTGTTTAACACTCTGGCACTGAAGGGAAGTTCAGTCGCTGCTTATAAAGCCGGTCTCCTGATGAGATGATCAGCCGCAGGTGTGCTGGTGGCTTCAGCTCAGGAGACCCAGGGACGCCCTCTGCTGGAGAAAGGTGGCAGATCTCCAGATCCCAACACCAAGTACATATTACTTGCGTTAAGTTGGGAACCAATCACTTTTTTGTTTTGTTAATACTATTTGGAAAGATTAATTCAATTTACTTGTCTTTTAATGAATTCACGTCTCAGGCACAGATTGACACTAGGACTGATCTTAGCTGGTTTATTTTAGGACAATCCAGGTCATCTTAGTCAGACAAGCGTAGGGTCAAAGCCAAGGAATCCAAGGTTGGGGGTCCAGGTTCAGACAGGCAGCAAACTGAACTGAGAGAGAAACAAAATAAGCAGGTTAGATCTTGCTAGACTTGGTCTATCTGGTAAAATGGCCTGAATGTGTTAGCACTGGGGGTAGACAACAATCTGACGCTGTGCAGGTGTAGAATCTGTCCTTAAATGGCTGCAACTGCTGATTAGGGTGATGAATCGCAGGTGTGTGAGTCACAGCACAGGAGCAGGTGTGACAGATGAATATAGATTTACAAATTAATTCTAAGTAGCCTATTACATAAAATATGTCATTTTGAAGTAAATGCACTTGTTTGGCATTATGCACTAAATTGTACATAAAAAACAATGTAGGATTGACAGGACTAAAAGTCCCTTTTTCAGTGTACTAATACACATTTACCAAGAATTATGGGCCTAAAATCTTCCAAAGTAATTATAAAAAAAGCTAGTTGCATGTAAAAATTATGTGCTAACTTCCAACATACTAGTAAAAGAATCAGTTTTTAGGGCATAATTTTTATGTCTGTCTGTCTTTAAACAGTTTATTTTTTATTTATTATTAATTAATAAAATTTTTATTTAAGTTATCTTTGTGGAATATTACACTTGGTTTGATGTGAATGGGGTAAATATAGTAATATAGTTCTATGAATGTTACAAACAAAGAAAACATTTTTCTAATGGAAAATTGTAAAAAAAAAAAAAAAAAGAAGAAAAAGAAACAGAAAAGTAACTTTGAAAATATCTTAATCAAATAAGGTTTTTACATTAAGTTTGCTGTTTTTCAAGTTTTCATTTTTGTCCTTTTGTATATGTTCCTTATAGTTTATATATATATATATATATATATATATATATATATATATATATATATATATATATATATATATATATATATATATATATATATATATATATATATACATTTCTTTTTTACTTAATAGTTATTATTTTTTTTTTTTTTATGTATTTTTGTTTCTACACTTTTCTATTTATTTGTACTGATTGAGTTTTAAGTAGTTTTAAGGATGTATTGTTACACTCTCCACCTGGTGAGTTTCTTCTGGTGGGAGGAGCAAAGATGCAATGTGAGCATCAGGTGCGTGACTGTTTGTATCAGGTTTGAGGTGAAGAGAATGTGATCGGAAAAACACAATCTAATTAAAATAAAAAATAAAAAATAAAACATGCTCTTGAAAATTGAGGGGGGGGGGGTAAATCAGAGAAGCATCAAAGTTACTCTAAATCCTTCTTTTGTACTAAGAAGTTTTTTTTTTCTAACTTCCTCTTCTGGATTGCATTTTTTAGAAATGTCCAAATGAAAATGTGTTCTCTGCTTGCAAAAATAATGGGAAAAATTCACTCCATATATGTGAAATGCTTAGGATAACTTTAGTAATTGTCTATTAAAGGAATAGTACACCCAAAACATGATTAGCCTTCATTTTCTACTCACCCCCATGCTGAACAACACTCTGGAGTACTTTTTTGATATCTCAAATGCATCTGGAGATCTGGGAGGCTTCTTGCTGTCTGCTGACATTCAAATAATGGAGGTCTATGGCGCCCGAGACAGAAAGGTCCATAAAAGTCCACAAAAAACGTGTCAATATTCCTCCATACTGCTCGTCCAATGTATTCCAAGTGTCCTGAGTGGGTAGCGTCCAGAATTTACTCGAAACGAAGTCATTTAGAATGTTTTTAGAGCATAAACAGTAGTGTATAGGATTTCCTGAAAGCGTGCTCCTGCGAGTTCACGACGCTACGGAAGCCGGCAGACCAAACCAGCGCATTCAGCTCGGCAAAGAACTCATGCTCTTCCTCAACACTGAAGTCCTCAGACATTTTTCTTTCGTTGTTTCTTTCTTTGCACAGGTAAACAGCACATTTCTTCTTCTACGCTTGCATTATCGGCAGAGCAGACGCTGAATGCGCACTTTCATCTGGTTTGGTCTGCCGGCTTCCGTAGCGTCGTGAACGCGCTTTCAGGAAATCCTATACACTACTGTTTATGCTCTAAAAACATTCTAAATGATTTCGTTTCGAGTAAATTCTGGATGCTACCCACTCAGGACACTTGGATTACATTGGACGAGCAGTATGGAGGAATATTGACACGTTTTTTGTGGACTTTTATGGACCTTTCTGCCTCGGGCGCCATAGACCTCCATTATTTGAATGTCAGCAGACAGCAAGAAGCCTCCCAGATCTCCAGATGCATTTGAGATATCAAAAAAGTACTCCAGAGTGTTGTTCAGCATGGGGGTGAGTAGAAAATGAAGGCTAATCATGTTTTGGGTGTACTATTCCTTTAAGTAGAGATAAGATATAAAATGTACATATATTTTATTTTTTTATGTCACATTCAAGGCATTACTTTTCATGCCATTGTAAAAAAAAAAAAAAAATTAGAAATGAAAAATGGCCCCAGCACAGCTGTAGGTCTAAATACGCCCCTGTCTGAAATGTATTGCGCATTGAAAACTAATAATAAACCAACGCAAAGCTGTGGACTTTGGGGTCTTATCGCTGATAAGGGAGCAGTTGAGTTGCTGCAGAGTAGCTACATGATATTTAACTAATACTCACTGGCATTTCTACTGCCTGGAGAAAAACAACATAAGCTTGGTGTGTCTGTATTAAAAAGTCTTTATTGAACTCATATTATTAGACACTCCTCCTGTTCCCGCTGCTTCGCTTCTTACAGCCAGTCGATGCACAGAAGGAAATTCGCAGCTCCCCCCTTTTTCTTTTTTTATCAGCGTCTTCATCGTCGCGAAGACAAAGAGGAGCTCCGCAAAGTGAAGATGGGCTGCCATTTGTGCTGGGAGAAGCCGCTGTTTTAAACTCACTTCCTTTTTTTGTTGTTTTTTGTTTTGCAAGCGTCCCCGCCCGGAGGCTTAGAAAGGAGGCGCCGGTCCTCGGGGACTCTCAGCGGGTTGGGATGCGCAGAGATGTGAGTGTAAAATAGAGCGAGCGGGGGATTGTGATTGGCCGCGCTCATCTCTGAAAGCTGCCAAGGAGCATCGGGCGAGGCATGTTAGAGAATTCACAGGGAAGCATCAAACTTGGAGAAGACGAGTGTCGACGCGTCCGCAGCAGCGTCAGACTGTGCAGGTAAACTTGCATCGTTTCTCCGCTCGACAGAAGAGGCGGAAGCGCTCTCCGTGGTGCTGAAACGGGTGGGCTTGGCTGTTCAACTAGTGAAGAAGAGGAGAGGACTGTGTTACTTTGTTTCCTGGCGTCATGGTAGATGTTGGAGCTCTGATTAGGTGAGTCCAATTATTGAGTGTAATGAAACAGGGATGGACAGTTTTTGAGAGCTGACATGTTGTGTTAGACAGCAAATGTAGCTTGAAACTACCCAGGTTTCCTTCTATCCAAATTCCATCCCATTGATTACTAAAGTTTCTTTCTTAAATACTTTAATCCTGTTTAACCACATGGACTGTTTTTCAAGCTTGTCGTTTTTTTTTTTACTTCCCAACATTTAGAGGATTACTCTGCTTCTTACATGATGGAGTCACATTCAGTTGTAAGAGTTACTGAGTTGGTCTGACCAATTTAGATCCTTTTTTGTTGCACGTAACTCTGTTGCATGAGAAATATTAAACACAGCTTGAGTTTGTCTTTAGATTAGTGAAGTAGGAAGCTGGGTGTTTTATTGGTCTCTGTAACCTGACAACTTCATGTCATGAACATCCACCTGGCGCAGCGTTTCATGTCTTATGGTGTCCGAATTGCAGACCTCTTTTTCTTTGTTAAACAAAAATTTTAATTAAATTGAATGAGTAGAAGTTACTAATTATAGATTCACTATATTGGTCAGCTGTTTTTGTCAATTCTTTCCTGAACATTTAAAGTTAAATGCAAATACAAAATACAAAAACTCCCACCATTTCTAATCCTATCATCTGATAGAATGTGACTTAAAGAGCTTTAGTGAATTAAAAAAACAAAAACTAACCAATAAAGCCTCAGGGTGATATGCTTTAATGCATGAATATTGATAATTACCCTATTTATGTTGGCTTAAAACTATAATTTATCAAAGAACATGTATTACCTTTTTCATTGATATTATCGTTCGTAGAAAAAAGGGAGGATAACAGAATCTGCAGAACAGACGTAAAGTAAATACCACAAAACCACATCTCAACAAGTTACAGCTCATGGATATTTACATGTTCTGTTTTTAAATTCACTATGTTTTCATTACTAATACTATTGCTGGTATTCTTGCCATGATTTAACTGTTGAGTGATCCATCCCATCAAAGCTTTTTTCTAATTGATAAGGCGGCTTTGAGAATGTCTAACATGAAGTTGTTCAGAATGCCATTCATTACCTGTTTTTCTTTTATCCATGTTATGATCTTGGTATCAACCATTAGCGTGAATTGGTTATTCTCTATTGGTGATGTAATTTCTAATTATCATTGTTGATTAATTTTGACGTCTTTCAATTTGTTTTAATTATTTTTACAATTGTGCAAACCATACTGTTTCCTCTGGGTGGCGACCAAGCTGGTGTACACTTTAAATGTAACCATGCAAACAGTCATTTTTATTAACTTTTGAACATATTTCAATAAAGCCGGTTTGTTAGTATTATGCAATAATAATTTATCCTACATATAGATATATAGATATAGAGTAGGTGCACAGCTAATATTACATAATATTTGAATTTCTCAATCAGACTATTTATATTTACATATATTAGGAAAATAGGTATTTGATATGGTGCCAGTTTTGACTTGTAAAGCTTGTAGATTCTTTATTTTTGACATAGGATCTCTGCAACTGTAACTGAATCTAAAAGTAATCTATTTGCATTTTATTGCACAAAATATGTAAATGATTTCAATAGCACATATCACACATATCCTGTGTTTTTTTTTTTATCAGGTTTTCACACCTGCAGTAGGAATTTGTACCACTCCTCCATACAGATCTCTTCCACATCCAGAAAGTTTTTGTTTGGAGCTGTTGCTGGGAAATACAGTTCTTTTCCAAATATGTAGCTCAGGTCTGGAGACTGTGTAGGTATATCCAAGATCTTGAGATGCTTCTTACAGAGCGGCTCATTAATTGCCTTCACTCTGTGCTTTGGTTTGCTGTCATGATGGAAGATCCAGCCAACAAACCAGCTTTAATGGAGGTTGTTGGCCAAGATCTCTCGTCCATCCATCCTCCAATGTCCCTATCCTGTCCTGTCCCTATAGCAGGAAAGCATCCCCAAAGAATAACGTTTCCACCTCCTTGTTTCACGGTTGGGAGGACGTTCTTGGAGTTATACTCATCCCCTTTTTTCTGCAAAAACATTAAGTGGACTTTTGACCAAAAAACTAAATTTTTGTCTCATCAGAACACATGACCCTCTCCTCATTACTCCTCAACATCATCCAAATGGTTGTTGGTAGACTTTAGAGGGTCCTGGACAGGCACCGCAGAACTATACTGTATCGTGTTACTTGATCCATGATGAGGTCATTGACCAGGTCGTGCCATATCGCTCTGCGCTGATCTCTTACCTTCCTAAAGATCAATGGTTACCAAATGAGTCCAGATCTTGTTTGGAGCGTCAGACTAAAAGAGATGGACCATCTTATAATTGAGCCTGCCATTTGCAGATCTACTGTTTATCCATGATGTCCTTACATGGATCTCTGGTCTTGTACATTGTGGAGAGGTTGGAGTTTGTTTTATTGGGTGTTTGGACACGTGTCTTTTATAGAGATAGTTTACAACAGGTGTTTTTTTTTACAGGTAGAGAGTGGAGAACAGGATTGCCTGTGAGAGATTGGATTCTTTCTGGTTGGTAAACAAATACTAAAAATGAGAAGCCAACATTAAAACTGGAATTTGGAATCTTGTCACTGATGAGGGAGCAGTTAGGTTGCTTCAGAGTACATGATATTTAACTCATATGCACTTAAGGACATGTTGCATGCAAAAATAACTTGTCATGTAAGTCTATCAATTCTGTCTCCCTGTCTGTCTAAAGTATTAGGACGCAATTAAAATCCTTAATAGAGTTATTTACAGGGTTTGTAATTATTCACATTGGAATGTAAAACCATTTGTTAAGAGTAAAAACAAAATATCCTATTGATTGAAAGTTATACAATTTCAACTATTTTATCAACCTCTGATAGTTTAGGCAAATTCTGTGAAAAACTGATTCTATGGCAGTGTTAGCATGTAGTGTACATTAATTATAGCACAATTCCTTCCGATCATTTTGGTAATATACAATTAATTTTATCTTGCATCTCTATTTATATGTAGCAACAAGGTAAACAATATTGGCTGTACATGGAAGACAGAACTATCACAATTCAGCTCCGTATAAGGCATTGCCTATAGGAGTTGAAAAATTGCTATTTAATATGGAGCATTGCAATTTAAAAATTACCACAGAAGCTACTGTTTTTTGGTAAGCCACTTACTCAGGCAAATATCTAATTTTCCTGGTCCTAGCTTCTTCCTAACTGCCAGCAATGTTTGGATGTACAGCGCTTTTTTTGGCAATCGAGGACACACATCCACCGTAACTTAGATGTCCATTCTGTTTTGTGGTTGAATATCTGCAGTGGACCAACGCCATTTGTGCATCAGATTTAGGGTTTAGTAGAAACAAGGTGTAAATTAGTTCCAACTAGCGTCTAAAATGTAATTAATTGCATTAAATATCTTCAAGTGGTAACATGTTTTTAATTGATTAAATAATTAAAATCAGCAATTTAAAGTCCTGGGCCTGATGTATTTAGATGTGTACATATAGATAGAATAGGCTCTATTCTATAGAATATAGAATAGGCTCACAGCTGCTATCATTCATTTATATTTTCTCAATTAAGTTCTACTTTAATTAGGTCAGCAAAAAGTTTTGCCATGAAATTGATAAAACATTAATCCTTTATTTCACTCAGTCCTTCTACATATGTATATACTGTTTACTAACTTGAGAGAATATGAACCAATGAAAGCAGCTGTGTTCTATTTTCTATGGTTTCCCTGAATTTTATGTTGATAAGATGAATTCAACAATTCAAAAAGTCGAGTTATTTAATTGAAGTAGCTGAATGTTGTCTTATGTTTTCTTGGCAGTTGACTTTTTCACTCAACTGACATTCTCTGTCCATTCAAATAGTCAACATGATCATAAACAGAGCAGTAACTGCTGATAAGGCTGCCCAGCAGCTTTAATCAATTACAGTGCCATCATCATTGCAGTTGAATGCAGGTGTCATCAAAGCAGAATGGGACTCCTTTGAGGAGGCAAATGCAGGACTCAATGACTTCACTCAGCTGGGTCACCGGACACACAGCAGAGCTTTTGACGCGTACAAATTGCGCTTGAAGATGGTGTGTTCATTCCTGGGAGGCTCAGCTGCTGGCAGGAGACCAGCAGAGCGGGGACATTGCACTCCAGATGGCCCAGAAAGGCCAAAGGAAGAGGGCTGTCCAAGCCCAGCTGGGAGTCTGGGAAGCTGGACGGCCGGTGCCATTTGCTTGTGTCCGCACGTCGATCTGGGAGGGAGAAAGAGGATAAAAGAAGCAGGGGAGACACTGGAGAGAACTAAAAAAGTATGATCATGTTCGGGGAGTGATGGGGCAGGAAGAGAATATGAGATCGAATGATACAGACGCCTCTGTGCGGGCTCCAATGCATGGAAGTAGTGATAGGAAAAGAGTGGGAGGAGGAAGAAATGGGAGAGAAGATGAAGGGCTGCTTTTGCAAATATGTTTGTGTGTGTTTGGATGCTGAATGAAGCGACAGGAAAGTAAAAAGAGTAAAAGACAGAATAAAAAGGAAATAGGCATGTGTGCGTGTGTGTGTGGGAGGGAGGGAGAGAAAATTAAACTGAAAGAAGCAGTCCTGTGTGTTTGGATGATGGTGTGTTTTTGCAGAGAGAGGATGAGAGGAACCAGGATAAAAAAAAAAAACCATAGGAATAAGACGTAAAAAATTGTTTGTTAAAGGAGGAAACCAATTAAATAAAAAAGGGACCAGGAAAAGGATATAATAGGACCTACTTTTTGTTGTGTTGACTTTGGCGTTACCTGCTATAATTGCACTTGTAAAAACTCTGACCTTCAGGTCTAATCCATTTGGTTTCACCACATCCTGCTGCAGTGTCACAATCTGATATTCAGTCATCATGTTAAAGACATGGTGCAGGTGGAAGGCTTTTTTTCATGCTCTTTTTCTTTTGCTGTTGGTTACCCTTATTTGAGGACTCTAAAGTACAGCCACCTGAGAG